AAACGACTCACGGACCGGTACCGGTCCGAGGCCCGGGGGTTGGGGACCGCTGCCTTAGATGACCTACCTACAAAAAAATGCCTGATATAAAAAAAAAAGGAAAAGGAAAAAAAAGGAAACCACTGAACTAAACTAATGTGGCGGTGTCGTAATACGACGCATGCCTTCGTGATGTTGTAAGAATTTCAGTTTGTTGTGTCACTCTTCTGAGATTGCAAATCTGACACACTTTCTTTGGCAGCAAACAGGGTGAAAATTAGTTTGAGTACCACTGGAAGGAGTCCACGTGTTCTGCAACATTCATTATTCAGTACTCAGTACTGAAAGCATTAGTGTCTCAGCGGTTTGAGTATGCAATTTCTAGTGGTTTTTTCTTCTTCTTTTTAAATTGAAGTGCTTTCGTTAGCGATGCTTGAAGCCGGAGAGGAGTCTTGAGTTATTTCACAAAGACAAAGAAGGTGTTTTTTTTAAACAAAGCAGTCAGATGTTAGCGATGGATGCGTTGGGTTGATTTTGTTATATTTTTCAGTGATTTGGCTTTTTTCCGGCTGTAGAAGTGTATCATGAGCTAACTGTGTTTCAAATTGCTGTGGCAGAGCAGACATATGGTGCACACATGAAATATTCGTAGTTTAAATTACTCTTCTGCAGGTTTTTTGGTTTTGATTGGGTAAACAGATTGCTTGTGATTGTTTTCTTTGATCTCTGAAGTCTCTCCCACTGTCTGCATGTGCGCGCCAAAAGAGAAGAGCCAGGCTCCTCCATCACAGTCTAAACAGTAATGCTTTGAACGTCTCGTTAAAAGCTCACTTAGACGCACATCACGGACACTTACACGTATGAACACACACCTGCCAGGAAGGGAAAGGGTGTGTTGTGACAACAGGCTTATAATCTCCCTCCCTTTTAGTTCGCTGAGCCCTGTGGGTCTTATTTGATTTCACAACAGGGTGTGCTTTTGTGTGTAACCCCAACAGCAATCTCAAAGGAAAACCCGTCGCTCTCTGTAGTTTGTTACATCTCATTTCTCTTTGCCCAATCATCTCAATTTTTTTTCTCTCTCAAAACTTCTCTGCTCTCCAGGGACACCATGACACCAAGAGCCCATTTTCTTCTCTAAAAAAAATAACAGGCGTAATTCCAGCTTTAAATTGGGGGGTTTTTTTTGGCTTAAAATTGCAGCTGGCCAACTGGAATATGAATCAGAAAAAACCCCTCTTGCCTGAACTGTATTTATTTTCTATCCTTCAGTTTAACTCCTGTTATATGTGTGCATTTAAATCTTTTAATCTCCAACCTGTCACTATTAAACATTGTTTGACTGCTTAAAAGCACCGTACCTCAGTCATTTTTCATTTATGTAGAATATTGAGTCCGTTTTAAAGCACTCGCTTCTACAATCTTACAGCCTTCATGCTGTGAAATGAGGTTTGGCTGTGTGTAAAGCTTAATGCAGGGAGGAGGGTAGAGGCCCATCGTCGCAAGCCGGCTGAGATGTGTGTATGAGAGATAGACACTGACACGGCATGAAATTAAAAAAATACATATTTTTGGTCAGAGTACAAAACAGAATGAAGAAGACTCAAAAATCAGGGGATCTTGGGAAGACACTGGTTGTAGTGAGCAAGAAATATCTAACTAACTGTAACCAGTCACAGCTTTTATTAGAATACGGTCTTTATTATACAGCCGTGCATTCAGAATTTCCCAAACAAAGTAAATGAAATCTCATGTGAATGTGTGCGCAAACACACGGAAACAAAAGCGTGTTTGAGAGAGGCCTAAGGTAGGGGAAGTCCGCTCGGACTACTAAATCCGTAACAATTCATTCGGTTTCTGATTCCACTCATTTGTTGCTGAGACGTCGTTTTGGGTTATTAGCGCTCCAGGCGTCGCTCTGAATTCCAAACAAAGACAGCAGTGAGTGATATTTCAAGGGTGTAGTGAAAAGGTGAAGTAAACAGCCTAAAGCAGGGTCTCTTTGACGCAGGGCAGGCTGTGATTACAGTCTGTGCGGCAGCTTCTTTCAGTATCAGTTTTGGATTGAATCGGCTCGTCTGCCCTGCGGATGACTCGAGTAGAGAGAATGAAGTCATAATTGCTGTCTGCCTGTGAGTAAAGGAGTGTCTGTGTGCACAGCAAACCATGATTGTGTGGTCAGCCGAAGAACAGACGTTGTTTCACCTTTTTGTTTTCTTTTTTCACAGTAATCGCTCGGCAGTGACTGTATCTAATGAGCCGACCTATGAGAAGCCACCGTTGGGCTGTTTGTAAATTATTATTGGAGGAAGAAACAACGCGATTGCCGGGTATTAAAAAGAGATTTGTTGGTGCGCCGTCTTCACGTCACCCTGTTTGCTTTTCTCATCACTCCAGCTCAGGCCCCTGTTGCTCTGTGATCGTCATTTTTGCTCCACCTGAGATCATTAATCCCATTCCTGCAGTGACACACCGGAGAGCGATGAAGCCAGCAGCACTTCAGGCTCATGGCAGTTTTTGTAAGATTGCACAAAGTGACCAGAAACGGATATGAACTTCAGTCTGCATTGTCCTGCACATGTGAGCCCTCTTCCTTCAGAGGCTTCCTCCATAAACATGTGAACTGATCTGTTTGCCAGTTAGAGTATATTTAACTTAATAGATGCTATGTTACATAAACTACATATGCAGCTAATTTCTTTGCAACCTTAAAGGACACTCTCCTTCTTCTCCTTGGTTCTTTTTCTTCCGCTCATAGTTTTCTCTTGTCCTGTGTCTATAATTGTGCCAATTAGTGGCACTTTGATTAGCTAAAGTGGGAGCTTTAGCCCTGATATGTGCCATTTTCTCTCCTGTCTTTGTACTCCAGCACACATTATGCAGAATGCCACTGCAAAATCTGGCAGTTTAACAGCTAATTTACAAACCACCCAGAATATAATTCCCTTTTTTCTCTGAATAATTAAATGCAGTTTCTGGGCACATATTGCTGTTATCAGCTTATAAAATGCAATTTCTGGGGATGGTTTTCACTACAGTTACTTGTCCAGAATTTCTTTCCTGCCGGTGAAGCCAATGTCTGCGTGGTTTTCTCACGTGGCTGAATAGTTCCCCCGTCCAACAGCTGTCATACGATTTATCCATACAGACAATTAAGCCGACCAGTCATTGTTGCATCATGGGCTGTGAGGGAAGCAAAGGGGAAAACAGGGTTGAAAAGGTTGAGGGGGGGAGCAGATAAGGTGGGAGAGAGAGTGAAAGAATGGAAGAAAACCCAAGAGAGACGGTTACAGCTGAGAGAATTGGTAAAAGCAGGATAACATCTGCAAGTCGCAGCGAGCATACTGAAGTTTTATCAGGAGAAGGGTGGAAGCGGAGCACAAAGGCAGCGAGAGAGAAGGGTTTGCACAGTAAGGGATGTGTGACAGGCGCACAGCTGATCAGCTCTCTGAGCTGAAAAAGCTGGTATTGTTGGTATTGCAACACAAACCACAAAAAACACATTAAAAATGATGAAAAATGAATCTTAAAATATTAAAATGCTGAACTTTTCTTTTTGCAGCATTTCACAGACACCGGCACTACCACACGGTTTTCTCTGCCATTAATTTATACTTCACAGTCAAAATCACAACTGCCGGCTTATTCGGGATTATTCACATTCCAGTAGATCTGTCGACGTGAAGTGACCCAGTTTCTTTCTCCTGTAAGCCAGCTGAGAGCTGACACCCTGACCTCCCTCCCTCTCTCCTACTGTTTAGTCTGCATCACATGAGCTTACACACTCCAGGTCAGACCTAAACCAGCTGCAGCCACCTACTCACTAGAACTTCACACAGCGGTCTTAGTTGTGTCTGGGTTGTTTACATGAAGATCATGGCACCCTAAGATCCCCAGAAAGCGCACTGTCTGTCAGTAGGAACACTTTAATTGATGTCTGGTTTTTTAGGTTCATAAATGATCAGGAATTCACTCTTTAGTAGAAAGTATTTAACCTTTCCAGAGCTTTTATAGTAATGATTGCAGTTTTTGTTCAAGTGCTGGTTTATCAGATCAAAACAAAGTTGGCATAAAACTCAGTTGCCCTCCTTTGTGATATTAAGTCATGCAGATTTGGATTTCTTAGATCTGCTGCGGTTTTGAGGCGCTCCCGTCTCAGATTTCTGCAGGCGCTAAAATACGGTGAGGGTTTTTTAAAATTGTGTGTCGGTAAAAGGACAGAAATGTTTATTTTTGAAAACAGAAAAGCAACTCGTCCTCGAGGAAGTGACTACTTTCTATTGAAGTCGTTTCAAAGATCACTGTGAAGTCGAGCATTGTGGCATGTGGGAAATTTAAAGGTGGGTGTCATAAAACCACAGCATATAAAATTAAACCCAACATTTTTAATTTGGATACTTTAGCGCTCGTTAATTTCCTTATTATTTGGCTTTTGCATGT